CTTTGTATGGACTACTACTGAGCAACAATAAAGATGAAAATATACTGAGCACTGGACTCCATCTGTTTCATGTTAGCGCACATTCAGTTTGCCATGACGTGTAAATAATGTAGCAAGATTCATGTAAAATGTTGCAAAGGTTTTAAATGTTAAAAGAAAATGTGAGAATAAATATTCTTGCATGAATTTATTAATGCAATTATCTCTTTCAGGCAAAACGAGCAGGTGTCCAGAAGCTGACCAATCAGAAGCAAGAGGAAAAGAGACAAGTGGTTTGTTTGTTAAAAATTCAGTTCAGCTCAATTAATTTCTTATTTTTCTCTGCAGAGATTGAAAAAGGATGGATCTGAGGTACAGCCAAATGTATCATGTTATCTGTTTTGTAAATCTCCAGGTCATACATTTTAATTCTTAGTCTAACTAATAGAGATGGTACATAAAAAATACTGTGTTTTTATATTAGATTGTAAGCAAATAATATGTAATTAAATTTAAGCAAGGATAAGAGGACAAGAAATGTAAAAATAAAAACCCAGACACTTTAATCAAAAGACAAAGTAAAAATATGAATCTTGAGAAAAATCAATTTAAAGACAAAATATTCTTGAACAACAAAAATCTGGCTGGTTGTATTTTAATTGAAAACTATAGGAATGTGTTAAAATAGTTCATTACTGAGTTATCTAATAAAAAATATATATTTATTTTAAAAAGTTTATTGAAATCAGTTAATTTAGCTTTTTTGTCAGTTTTATTTAAAAAATATGTAAGAAACTCGCAAAATTGTAAAAGATGGCGTCATTTCCGGCCACCGGCTTTTATTTTTTTTAAATATATATCAATATGCTTAAAACATTGTGTGAAATTGACGTAAATGTTTTATTCCTGCGTATACTATAAAAGTAAAACTTTCTGGAAACTTTTATTTTACAAATATAGAATTTTTTTCTTAATTTGTGCGAGTGCAACAGGATGTGACGTCACCACTTAGCGGGTCAGTTTTCTGTTAGCCTGGACCGTCCTCCGGTGCGCTTCTTTTGCATCTGTTTTACTTTTCTGTTCAGAGACACAACCGGACAACCCGGTGGGAAAAAGTCCACGGAGCTTTTTACTGGATAAATAAACACCGAGCCCTGGACGAAAATGTCCACCGCCCTGGAGAGCTACATCAACCGTATCCTGCTGTTAGCCGGCTAGCATGCTAACTGTCCATGCGAATGAATGAGATGCTAGTTAGCTTAGCGCGCTAACTAAGAGTAGTGTTTTGTTTTTGTTAATTTTCTGCTCTGTGTGGGCTGGAATCAGACGAGTTGTTTAAGAAAGGAGTAAACAGAAGAAAAAAATGTTGCTCTTTAAATAATTGTTTATGTAGAAATGCGATTAAAGATGTTTTTTTTTTTGTTAAAAGTAATTTTTAAGGCTGTGCATGAAAACAGCTCCACTTAAATAATTTTAAAAATGTTTACATTAGACTAGTTCAGTGCAGATTAAAAAGTAAAGACATCTGAAATTTAATACTTAAGATGTTGGAATCGGTATTTATTTTTAATGGTGGTAAACCCAAGCATGTATTAGTTTTTTAATTATGATTTGTACACAGAAAAGTGTTTCTTTGACTGCTGCTGGTTCAGGCACCGTGGCCATCGTCACCTCTGATGGCAGGATGATTGTGGTGAGTTTAAACATCTTCACCTCGGAGAGGTGTCCGTTTAAAGATGAGAATCTGTTTAAAAACATGAACTCTGAAACTGTTTGTTTGTTTAGGGCACCCTGAAGGGCTTCGATCAGACCATCAACCTGATCCTGGACGAGAGTCACGAGCGGGTGTTCAGCTCCAGTCAGGGGGTGGAGCAGGTGGTGCTGGGACTCTACATCGTCAGAGGAGACAACGTGTGAGTCTGCGTCGATCCGTCCAGCTTTCACAACTGATCCTCTTTATTGTCATTCAAACATGACATCAGGGATGCACTGTAGAACGAAGTTACAATCATTTTATATGATTATTATTTTTATCTTCAGCGCGGTGATCGGTGAGATCGACGAGGAAACGGACTCCACGCTGGATTTAGGGAACATCCGAGCCGAGCCGCTCAACTCCATCGTTCACTGACCTCTTTCCCTGCGTCTCCATGTTCTGTCGGATCTGCGAGATGATCTGAACTTCGACTCTGGTTCCTCTTCCTCGTTTGTATTTGTAATATTTTTTTTATAAATAAAGAATTCAGTTGTTATATTCACTCTGTGTTTTTATTTATTTGCAWCATTTTAATAAAATTTTATTGGTTTTAACTCCTGTTTCCTGTTATTAATGCGTTCAGAAATTTCTTGTTTAAACTCAGTGTTTTTAGTATTGTTCGTCAGGTTGCCTTCGCTAGTAAATGTTTTTTTTTTAAATAAAATGTAACAGTGACAGCCAATCAAATTGCAGCCTGATGCTGATGCTGAGGATACAGAGCATCCCTTGTTCAAGATGCTCGGTTCGATTCCCAGGTATGGAGAAAGTCTGACCTTGTTTTTCTTTTTTCTTCAAGTTTTTATTTTTAAGCACATGGACACAAGCGTACAAAATGAAAAGTTGTATATTACGCTACCAGAAAACTCAGATTTCATGTTATTTCATTTTTGTCCAGAAGAGGGCGGTGTTTGCACAGTTTTAAATGCACACAGTTTGAACCCATTTGTGTTGATTTTTTTTTATTGTTTACAACAAACACAATGCAATTTTTTAAGTTATCAGATCAGTCATTAAAAATGTGTCTCAGTCAGGAAGCATCAGTTTTGCCACTAAACTGTGACTTCCTGTTTGTTTGTTGTTGTTTATTCCAACAGTCAGCGCTCCCTGCAGCCAGTCGATCTGCTCCTGCGTCGGAACCGGATCCTCGTAGTGAAGCCGCAGCCAGGACTCTCCTGAAACCCACATCGGACAATCAGGTGACGATCATCAGCCCGGTCAACGCTGTCATCAGCGTCTTACCTGTCTTCACTGTCTGACCAGGTGACACCAGCAGCTCCGCCCCCACGCTGTGATTGACAGGATCTCCAGCTTTAGAGCGCCCCGCCCCCAATTTATGAAGAACCTGAGCTAAAACCAAACCATCCACGTCCTGAACTAAACCTGCACGGACACAAAAACAAATTTTAAACCAGAGATAGTTTGCATTAAATATATATTAAAATTGAGCATCAATTCAAAAATATTTACTTAGTACTTCGTAAGATGTCATAAAATGTAAACAAACTACATYAATTCAAATTATTTGCTATACATTGTATACTTTATCCTGGTTTTTGCTGTTTATGTTACATTAAAGAACACTTTTAACTCCATAAAAATGAAAAAATGTCACAACAAATCAGGATATTTGTCKTAAAGTCTGAAATGTTACAACTAAAAAGTTACAAGCTGTGTCCTTTCAGAATAAAAGCTTACCTACAGTAAATTCCCATGGCTATTACCGGACTTGACTTTGAACGCGTCATCATTTTTATGATTTTTACCTCCAGCCCGAGCTGGCAGCTCCATCTGATGCTCAGATTTCCTCAGGACGCTGTGGTAATTTGTGTCGGCGGAGCAAAGCGACCGGGCCGTCTCCACGGTGACGCCCTGAGCCACCAGCATGGCCTCGAACTTGGACAGGGCAGCACCACCAATCACAGCGTGGGAAATCTGCTTCCTGCCCCCTGATAGGCTGGAGACGATGCCAGTCATCTTCAGCAACAGACCGCCTGGAATAAAAACAACACAACTAAAATGATCTGGTTTCAATTTTAAAACTGTTTCCTATTATATATATTTTTTAATTTCTTAATGTGAGAATGTGAGCTAAATGACAATTACTTAAAAAAGCAGCTGGAAAAATACATTATTATTAAAAAAAAAACTGAGCAGCAGGATTTTTGAATCATTAGTGTTTATTTTTCAGACTAAAACAAACGTTTTAAAGTGTCATAATTTAATTAGACGCGTTGTTTCTATGATAATGAAGGTATCAAGCGAACGCTCTGATTTCCGAGTGTCAACGAACGTCTCACGAGCTTCGTTTTTAAGCTACGATGCTAAAGATATTAGTTAGCTTCTAAAAATTAACCTGTGGAAATTTGACGTCCGCTCAAAACTATGTTAAACTGAGTTTTTTCACGTTTCACAATTACTGTTAATATAAAAAATGACAGCTTTAATGAACTAACAGGTAGCAGCTGTATTAGCGTTTGTACTGTGAATCTTCAATTCCTTTTTTAAGACTTTTATCACATTTTAGTTGCTGACATAATATCGTTCATTGTGAAATAGTATTTATTACTTTAAAGATTTTTTCATTGTGATGAAAGCTTGTTACTGCTTTGAACATTAGCTCAGGTTAGCAATGTTGCTAAAAATACATTGACGTGTCAAACCTGAGTTAGATTATTCTACACTTAGAATATTTAAAATTAAGTTTGTGATTTGTGAAACTTCAATTAAGGCTGTTTTCAGCACATTTTACACTCACTAGACCTGTTTTCAGAAGTGTTAGCTTATTAATATGTTAAACTTAAAAACTGCCCTAAAAGTTTCGTCTGAAATTAATGAAACTTTCTCTTCTAAAACTGTCTCAGTGCTTTCATGAAATTTGAACCAAGTGTCGTGTTTACTTTAATTTTTTGTCAGTAAATAAGCATGTCAAGTTGATCCGGTCTTATTTTCATTCAGCTCTGGTTAATCCAGACTCTAGACTCCGATCAGAAACAGACTGAACTCGTCTGTAACGAGTTCTGTTACCGAGCGTCGTGACAAGCTCCATCAGGTCCTCGGGTCCATTTCCCTTCAGCGCCTCCAGAGACTCGATCACCTCCAGACTGTTCCCCACACACCGGCCGATCGTCCCGTCCATACGGCTCAGCACCGCGCCCGTTTTAACGCCCACACYGTTACCTGCACTCACCTGAAGCGGAGCTAACGAGTTAGTGTTTAACTCTTGTATTTGTGTTTTTTCCTTTAACAGTTTTTTCCTGTAAAGTGTTTTTTTAATAAATAGATGTTCTCACTAGCAGCTGAGCGAGCTCTTGAGCTTCCTGCAGGTCTTTATAGAGAGCAGCTCGTCCAAACTTCACATCCAGAACCAGAGCAGACAGAGACTCTGCTCCTTTCTTAGAGATGATGGAGCCTGAGACTCAGCACAGATGTTTGGTTAGATCAGGAAACCTTCCACCAATTAAAAATTACAAAATATCACTTCCTGTGCCTAAAATTAACTTAATGAAGTTGCTAATAGACTAATGAATTGTTACCTAAAATGGATTGTTTAGTTTTGCWGCTTGTTTTATTATTATTAAAGTACCCGTGACATCAAATTTTTGTAATAAACATGAGTGCATTTTTGGAAAGATAACAYTGATAACGTTGAAAAACWAATTTCATGTCGCTGAGATGAACGGTTGTTAAGATATTCACATGTGWAAGAACAGGAAGTGATGTCAGAGGGGAATGTCTGCATGTAAACAGAGCATTTCTACAACGGCTAACAACACAGGCTGTGGAGAAGAATCTGATGTTTCTTTACATTATTTTGAGTCTCTATCAAAGAGAGATGTTAAAGCTTAAACAATATTGTTTCAATAAACAAAAACCAGAGAGTTTTCTTTGTTAAAGAGTTCCCCTTTGATGTCACTTCCTGTTTTACTTTGGCTGAGACAAATTCAAAAGAAAATATGCCAGTTATGGGACAAAATGGATTAAATTGTGTGTATTATTCCAACTTTCATAAATATAAAGATGTTTTCTGACTTTTGTATTTGAAGTATATGCATGTCACAGGCACTTTAATGTCATTTTGTCTGTTTACATAAATTATTTAGAAACTGCAAAATGTTATGATTATAAATAATATTTACTTCCATATTTGCTAAAAGTGATAAAAAGCTGTTCCAGAGGGACCACATGTGGCCCCAGAGCCTCAGATTGCAGAGCCCTGGTTTAGGTAAATAGTTTAGGTTCAGTACTAGTAATGAGYGGTGGGCTGTCCACGGTGCTGGTGGCGTCCCTCACACCGTACAGGACTCGATCTGCCGGGACCAGCGTCTCKGTCTGCCCCACGATACAGCAGCCCACTGAGGCCAGGATGGCCCGGATCTGAAACCAGACCTGGTTTTAGGTTTGAACTCTGTAAAATAAACATGACAATAATCTGTGGGGTTAGAGTGAACCATCTGCACCTGRTCAGCAGACTGATGGATGTTGTACCCTGGGATCGATTCCAGTTTATCCAGAGTTCCTCCTGTGTGAGCCAAGCCCCGCCCACTGATCATCGGCACCTGAGTTTAAAGTGAGTCAAACCGTATAAGTCAAAAACTGAATAAATGTCTGAGTTTTTGTTAATATAACTATTTTATATTTGAACAGATTAGGGTGTTGATCTGGATGACTCTGGATGTTAGCATGACTGATTGTTAGCATGACTGATTGTTAGCATGACTGATTGTTAGCATGACTGTGGATGTTAGCATGACTGATTGTTAGCATGACTGATTGTTAGCATGACTCTGGATGTTAGCATGACTGATTGTTAGCATGACTGATTGTTAGCATGACTGATTGTTAGCATGACTCTGGATGTTAGCATGACTGATTGTTAGCATGAATCTAGATGTTAGCATGACTGATTGTTAGCATGACTCTAGTTGTTAGCATGACTCTGATTGTTAGCATGACTCTGGATGTTAGCATGACTGATTGTTAGCATGACTGATTGTTAGCATGACTGATTGTTAGCATGACTCTGGATGTTAGCATGACTGATTGTTAG